TATTTAGGGGGGTGAGAGGGCAGTGGGACTAGATAGTGTTTTTAACACTATAGGGTCATGAATAAATGTTTGTATTCCTTTAAGTGCACTCACACTTAATATATATCACTTTGTTCAGGAGACACATGACTTTCATTTCACATCAACCTTTTATATATGAAACATAATTTAAAACATACTCGTTTTCCTGGCACTATAGTGCCCTGAGGGTGCCCCCACCCTTAGGGTCCCCCTCATGCCGGGCTCTGGGGAGAGGAAGGGGTTAAAATCTTACCTTTTTAGCTCTCCTCCTCCTCTCCTCCTTCATAGCGACGTCATCGGCTGAATGCGCATGCGCGTCAGGAGCCGCGCGCGCATTCAGCCAGTTCAATGCTTTTTACAATGCTTTCCTATAGACGCGGTCATCTTCTCACTGTGATTTTCACAGTGAGAATCACGCAAGCGCCTCTAGCGGCTGTCAATGAGACAGCCACTAAAGGCTCTAGAGGCTGGATTAACCCTATTATAAACAGTTTCTGCTATGTTTATATAAAAAAAAAGCGTTAATCCTAGCCGGACCTGGCACCCAGACCACTTCATTAAGCTGAAGTGGTCTGGGTGCCTATAGTGGTCCTTTAATGTCATAATACTGTTAGATTTTATTGCCATAAAATACATATTTGTATGCTATGATGTCCCATGAGTACAACGATGCCCCCATGTACAGGTTTCATGGGGTTTTGTAAAGTTACAGGGTAAGTTATAGGGCTTGCCCATTTCATGTCATTCAGTTTGCAAAAGCAAACAACTCCAGGGTGTTTTTGTAACCGCTTTTGTTTAGCGATGTCTCCCGAGTACAAAAGTAACCCCCATGTATAGGTTTTATGATGATTTGTAAATACAGGTTAGAGAACAGCCCACATTCAAAAATGACAGATTTCAATTTTACTAGGCTACGTAAAATCACCTGTCTTAGCAAACAAACGTGGGGATTCAGTTACCCCATGTGGCCATATTTTGTTAAGCGTAACACACTATGGCCACTAGGTGTATCTGAGTCCCCACATGTTTATTTCACATATACTAAAACTCTTAAAAAGGAAGGTGTGTGAGTATGTTGTAGCCCCCTCCTGCTTGGCTTTCTTGAAGGAAGGGGGACTATGATCTCTGTTAGTCCAATGGTGGGAGTGGGGGAGTCATACTCCCAGGTGATCCAGCAGGGTTTATGCTGCCTGGTGGGCTAATGGGGGTCCTGAGTCCCCAATGGTGCAATGAGGGAGCATGAGATTTGAAGTGTATATTCAGTAAACCACTACTTGCACTGTGCATTGATATACATCCAACTTGAAATGTACATTTATCTCCAGCTCATTTCTCTGTACCCCTCCAAATTGACCTAGCAGTTACCCCAAGTGTATTTTCTTGTACCTCTCCTTGTGCACAGCCTTTTTATTTCAGCTCGTGTAAACCTTAGTAATTGCAACTTCGCAGTTCAACCCTTAGCGAGTCAGAATGCAAGTTGGGAACATCCAGTGACTGCGCTTGGACTTACTAGAGAGCACTGGACCTCAAGGCAGCCATTACTGAGGTGTGCAACCGCGAACACTGCCAGCTCTTATCCCCCCACCAAAGCGGCCCAGCCACGTCCACGCCCAGCATCCAGAACTGCATGTCCCGGGTATTGGGCAATGTGATTAATAGAAACTTCTCAGTGGTGCACCCATCAAGTGGCACGCAAGGCATGTGCCGTACCTTAGCTACATCACTGCTAGAAGTCGTGTATATATCTGTATCCTATCACATTCTCTCAAACGCATCGTGTTCTAAGCTTTCTTTATAACTCATTCCTATGCCATGGCTACATTTACATATCTGGCTGAAATATAATATCAAAGAAACGCCATGTGGAAAACTAGTGCAAAACACAGACAATGCTAATTAAAAACAAACGTGATTGAATTGAAAATACATAAATTAGAACTATTTGGGGCATCTGTTTCAGTCTTCATTTTATTATAACCACCAGCTACATCAGAATACTTTATACTTAAAGGGACACTCACTGCTACAACATAAGTGCTTTGATGAGTTTTTGGACTAATATTATATTTTTCTCACATTAAAATCTCTTTAATTGTTTTAAAATATAGAGAGATCAGTGTGAGCAAAGCTACTGACTTGACTCATCACCACAAACATTTACTTATCTCTTATCTGTATAGGACAGGAGAGAAGGGGTGAGATTAAAACAGGACTGTGATTGGCTGTGGGTCAAAGTCTTATCAGGAGCTCAGTTCCTGCTGACCTCTCACTGGTCGAGTTGTGTGTGTACTAGCAACACTTACAATCAGGATGATATCTTGTAGTTATAATATATGAGGCAAATAACTGTCACATACAAAGTTGTGTTGGTGCCAGGAGTATCCCTTTAAGGGCAATTGATTTGCCATTCATTCTTATGCTTTTTAGAAATAATCTACCACAATACTTGTAGAATATGTAAGTAATAAAAATAAAAAACCTGTCTCTAAGTGTAAGTTTAGCTACTATGGCCTTACAGTTTAAATTCACTTTGAATTCTCACCTTAGTAAATAAACCTGTTAGTAAGCAGGCAGTTGTGCATAAGATCACAAGTGCATGATTACTATTTCCTCCTAAAACGTAATGAAACACTGCTTAATAGTGATGTCCTGAACTGTTCGCCCAATTGTTCGCCACGAACGGTTCGCCACGAACTCCAGTCAGCAGACACATTCCAGCCAATCAGCAGCAGACAATCCCTCCCAGACCCTCCCAACTCCTGGACAGCATCCATTTTGAAGCTGCATTCTTAGTGAGCTGTCCAGGAGGTGGGAGGGTCTGGGAGGGAGGGTCTGCTGCTGATTGGCTGGAATGTGTCTGCTGACTGGAGTTCGTGGCGAACCGTTCGCAGCGAACCGTGGCGAACAGTTCGGCGAACAGTTCGGCGAACAGTTCGGGACATCACTACTGCTTAATAAAGCTGTCGTCTCTACAATTTAAATTATGCCATACAATAAAAAAATATAACGGTATTATAAGATTATAGTAATATACGTCAATAGAATGACTTTTTTATGTAAAAGTTCAAATTACATCATTTTGTTATCATCTGATGGAATCCGCAGCAAATAAACTTGGCACAAAGTGTTTTCCACGATAAAACTAGATTTCCTTAAAACATGCTAAAAATAAATCTAATCTGATTAACCCTAAGAATCCCAGTAACAGTTTTGGGGTGAAATGTCATAAGGTACATGTTTTTATGCATCTTAACCCCTTCCTTTCTAATTTGTGAATCATGTAAAATTTCTGATTGTTTCACCCGTACTTTGATTAATGCTTTTAAGTGTTTCAGGGGAAAATATAAAATTTGACCAATCATAGGTCTAGGTTTAGCACCCCATCTGGAGCCTCACTATCTGATAAAGGCTGGAAAATTATCTAATTTAAGTAATACATTTAGTACAATTTTCCATGCAAGTAATTAAAATAGTAATTAGTTAAAATGTGGTCTCTCCAAAACTGTGTATCTTTAATGTAATGATACAGTAGACAAAGGCATGATATGGCTGCACAGTTTGGCTAAACCTCCCTTTTTTTTGTCAGTTTTTTTATGCAGCTTTTAACATATTTTGTCTTGTGTAGGTGTGCCGATTTCCTTACACGTTAATCCTTAGCTTCTAAACTTGGAACATCTCACCACTGGAGAGATTGCATGGCAAACAGAACACAAGTAATCACTGACAATCTATATGCTTCTTGTAACAGATTTAAAGAAACACTCCAGTGTTATAAATAAATACCTGTATTAATAATGCTGGAGTCGAGTGACTAAAATCTATTTAGATTTCCAGCCTTTCCACCCCCCAAAAAAAGTGTTAACTTATCTCGAATTCAGCAGCAATAGTGTCTGCTGCCGCATCTTGCCAGGAGATCATCACTTCTGTTCATCTCTCAGCCAATTCAATACTTCTCATAGAGAAGCACTGAAGGCAACGCGCATGCACAGTAATCACCGTACTTGCTGGACTGTGCTAATGCTAGTTATGGATAACGTGGCATTAACACCGTTTGTTATTTATGTGTGTATGTCAGTGGCAGATCTTGTATCTGACTGGGAGTGTGATAGGAATACCAGCTCAGCTGGGCCTAGGGCATCCTAAAGCTTCAATGCAACACCGCTCATGTGGCTGCACCGCATGTCCAGCATGCCCCTTAAGCACTCTTGCTATATCCAGCAAATATAACTAAGCTCTGTGATGTCCACATTACAAAATTTGGAATCAGAATTATCATTCCATGTATCCAAGCCAAATAAACGATATGATTGTAAGCTCGTTTGGGCATGGCTCTCTTCACCTACAGTTACCTTACTTCAAATGTGTTTTGTTAAATTGTTTGTCTTGTCTTACCTATTGTACACCACTGCGGAATATGTTGGCACCATACAAATAATTGTAATAAAATTAAATAAAATCAAGAATTTAACAGCATTCTTCAGCTTCTCAAAAAGAAAGATTTAAACAATAAAAAAAAAAAATAGTTTGGAGTGACATTCTGCTTGAAATAGCTCTTTAATTCTTGAGTTTTATTTTGAAATTACTCAACAGTTTTCCATTCTCATCTTTAAGATAAACATAGACTCCTTCGACGTAGTGCTAATCTAAGCTCCATGTCACCGATCACTCACACGTGTTGTTTTTCACATTGCTGGAAGTGCGATCATCTGAAGAACTTTACAATTTATTGTGAATTAACCATAGTCACTAACAGGCACCAATTGCAGAAAGAACAAAGAATAGCTATTTAAATAGAAACATCAGCTAATACCGGCACATCTGACTTTTACTCTATCCTTGGAGGAGAATTTTATAAACATTTAAAGTTTCTAGATATCTACGTTTAAAGAATGGGTAATAGTAAAAACACAAAATATCACAGTGCAATAAATAAATATATCACCTCTATACTAAGAGATACTTAGAAAACATAAGTACGAGTCACAATATTTAAGATGCTTGTAAGGTCCAAACTTGTCCTGATATATTTTGTATTGCAGAGCGCATGTCTTAGATTTAAAGGTAATTAAACAATACTTTTTGCTTTTTTTAACACTTGTTGCTTGCTCTAACCAACTGCAAAACCATTAGATCTTAACATGAGCAGTTTTGTGGTTTAATATATAAATACATGCTTTACCATCACTTTAACCCCTTAAGGACCAAACTTCTGGAATAAAAGGCAGTCATGACATGTCACACATGTCATGTGTCCTTAAGGGGTTAAATGTATAATATGATACGTTGTATACTAGAGCAGATTTTTTTTAAACAAGTACTGAATTTGTCTCGCTTTAAATTCAATACACCTTTTAAATCACATAGTTCATCATATTTTTTTTATTATTCATACCTGTCAATGGCCAGATTTCGAATTATAACTGCGTTCTTATTGGCTCAGATCAGGACGACCATGAAAATATAGCTCTTGTTCTGAATGACCTCTTTTCTCTGAATTTTTTAAATACTTCTCAATAATTTATTACTGAAATCCGTTTGACCGTTTCCATCTGCTCTTTGACATGCAGTAAGAGGGAATGTTAAGAATTGTAGTACAGATAATACATGCACATTTCTGTCATTTTATTACTAAATTCCTTTTTGTTAGCTGTACAGAGTAGTAATAGCCTTCAACTTGTCTTTAACAAATATGTCCTACATCAATGTAATGTACTAAATATAGGCAGTTATATAAAGAGATATAATATGGGCAAAGTTCTTAAAAACATTCCTTTGGTTTCCATGGTAATTACTCCACTTGTACAACTTCACTGCATATTCATTTATAGCAGATTCTAATGAAATGTTGAAGATGTTTTGCACAGTTCCATTCCAAACCTGTAAGGATTAAAAAACGCACCTATTTTTTCTGTAAAATGTCGAGGGATTATCAAAGTGACCAGTATGTGTTTAAGTGACAAATTACATTCTTGAATTCCCATTCCTGTTTCTTGTGTACTGTCAAAAGGCCAGACCTCTGTAAAAAGCTGAAATTCTGACGGTTATAAGGGAGGGAGAGATACCAGGACAACTTCAGAAATACACACATCAGTTACTCCCATGAGTCACAGAGATGTCATCCAATTATATATTTTTTAAAATCTTCTTTTTGGTAAAAGGAAACTAATAACGTAACGTAGCTGCTGTATGAGATTGAAGCAATTGAATTTCTTTTTTCTATAAAAATTACTCCAAGCGTTCCACGCTTGTGTTAGATATTCAGATGCGAAATAAACAAATATTAATTTGTAAATAAATATCAGATGACAATGCTGCAAAATTAATTTTGTATCCTGCATTTTGTCACTTCAGTAGAGTCATCAGCAAGTGGGGAGTAGAATTATTGTAAATTTAACAGGTAATTCCTTATATCCCAAAACCTGCGGTTTATTTTAAGAGCAGTTCTTTAGCAGGGCTATATAAATTATCACCCCATTGTAGTCACTGTGTGCATGGAAGCCAGCAGTTACTGTCCATACACTCCCCTGCGGTGTAAACAGGCCCCTAGACACTGATTACACTAGAGGCAGAGTGATCACGAGGGGCAGTAATTTTAATTATATGGGTTTTAAGGAATAATTCATTTACGGGACTTAAGGACAAATACTATAAAAGCACTGCCCTCTTTTAGGTGCGGCATGGGTCCAATGAGGCCATCTAGAACAGGGTCTGTGTAACTATAGAAATACAGAAAAAATATTACATCCACAAATATCAAATGCAAATGTAACAGAGCCTACTTGTAGCTCTGGAGTGGATTCAGGTGGTGGATTCCGGTAGCACGCTTCTCGGGTAGGACCTTCACTTGATGGTTGATCGCTAATCTTGATTACCTTTCCAATAAAGAATTTTACATTGTGTGGGGGGCTGGAAGAAGTGACACAATGATGTAGCAGCTATTATAATATTTTGTATTATAAATCTAAATTATTATTATTATATTCTGTGTGAATCATGGTTTTGCGAATATATATGAAAGCACAACTGGGTATGATCGCAGCTTGGCTCCTACAGAGAATGCTGTTAAAGAGCCCTCGGGGGAGGTGAAGTTTGCACAGTCTGCATCCCATGTGCTGGGACACAGTGAAATGGGACCCCCATTGTACCATTTTACTTACCTGAAGCTGTACCTCACCGCCATCTTCTTCCATTGGATCCATCTGCCAGAAGTTGACATCAGTCCTGTTTTCTCGCTCACCTGTGAGAGTACAACACTGAGGATTATTGATCCCATGAGATTGTAGGAGCCTCCTCAGACAAAACCTTTTCCCCTTCAGCCCTCACTAGTGACGTCTGGGGGTCTGACAAAGCATGACATCGATTGTCCCATCTTTTTGTCAAGCTTTGACAAGCGTAGGAAAAATACATAAGACAAAGTATTCAATACCGTCTCTTATAATATTTGTTTGACTGTGTTGGAATTTCAGAGAAGAATTTCACACAGGTACCCCATAGCGGGACTACCTGACAGCATATGAATTGTAAGATATGAAACAAAGTTAATGACCTGTTCTTCAGATACATCTCCTAACCCTGAGCTGACAGCGATCTCAATCACAGAGCTCCATCAGTCCACAGGGACATTCTGCAGCCAATATTAGAATAGTCTGTCCTTCCCAGAGGAAGGCTCAGCCTCTCTGACATATACTGTGTGTGAATCACCTCTGTCTCCCCACAAACAGCAAGCAAGCATTCCAGTGATTAATAAACCAGGAGATTTACTGCTACTCTCTGACACTGACATGTTATTGCTTCATTTCTTATTTGTTGCTATGTTTTTATTTATTGGATTACATTAAAATGTAGGGAAATTTGTTTTTAAAAATAGCAAAGTAAGGCTTATACATCATTTATACATCATACCAGCACCTATCATTGCAATATTTATATTTAAATGTAACAGAAAAAAAAATGGAGAGAGAGAGAGAGAGAGTGTGTGTGTATATATATTTAGAATGATACTGTAGTTTAAGCAGAGACTGTTTGAATAAGGTTAACAGTAAAAGTCTGATTTGCAGGAAAAGCCCAGTTTGTCTGGAAATGAGTTAAAAGAGGTTAAAATAACATCACTCTGTGAGCACTAGTCACAGATTGGGGAGAATCACTAGGTTTACATATTATATAGCTATTACTGGAAGTCACCAGTCTCCTAAAGTGACCTCATCCCTCTGATACATTATGTCATGTTTATTGAAAACAGACGTCGACCCCCTCCTCCCCCCTTCCTAAATCGAAGCTAATTCTGAAATGACATGATCTGGATGGCAAGCTAACATTAACCCTGTGAGTGTCCCTGTGCTGTTCCCATGTCCTGATATAACCCTGTATCTGCCCCCTTGTTGTCACAGACAGCCAGATCTCTGGGTAGACCCTCGGTGCTCCCAATCCTATCATGCCCAGGCATGTGGTCCATTAGCAGCTGGAGTGGGAGAGGATGCTGCCTTCTCCATCCTTGGTCCCTCCTCTGCCCCCTCCTCCCAGTCTCTCTCCACTGACAGCACTCAGCAAGCACAGGAATCTGTCTAAGCAAGGCGAGTTCCCAGCCTGGCATCAATGAATGAGAGACAGTCCTTCTAGGAGGGGGCTCTCCATTTATTAATCTGTGCTGCCTCCCAGCAAGGCGTCCATCCTCCATTGCACAAGTAGGGAGCCAGGGCTCTGCTTTAAAGGGACCCCAGAGAGGAGCAGGGGCCAGTGGAGGAAGATAAAGACACAAGCTGGAGATGGAGTCCTCCTCACCTCCTCCTGGAGATGCTGGCAATGGAAACAGCCCCTAACCATCTGAGCTTGCACTCCATCCCTGCTGGATTCAGGTGGAGGTAAACACCATTATGCTAATGCCTCCATGTCTGGGAGGTGATTTCTCCGGCTGCTGTGAGCACACAATGGGCCACTCCCTAAACCTGAGATTTGGGACCCATCGCACAGCCTAGGAGGACAGAGGAGTTGGCTGTGTGTTCTGGTGAAGACAGCCTGCTAGGATGGTCGCAGCAGAGAGACTGGCGGTGAGCATGCAGGGGGCCCTGATGATGGGAATGTGATCTCCTGGATCATGGCATTTGGGCTGCGCAGGAATTCCCTAAACTCACCTTTCAGGAACAGTGAACCAGAAGACAATGGGGATAAAAAGCAGACATTCAGGGGGGCATCCTGGGGAGGAGCAGGAGGAGAAGAAGAGTGGTCTGGCTGGGGACCTGGAGCCAGCCTCCCTGGGGGCAGGGGTGGATAAGGATGGGACCTTGCTGCTGGTGGGAGCTGGGAAGGAAGATGTCAAACGCAATCCGCAGGGAATTGGGCTTTTGGCTAAGACACCTCTGAGCTGTAGCAGGCCTGTCAAAAGGAACAATGCCAAATATAGGAGGATCCAAACTTTAATATATGATGCCTTGGAGAGACCTAGAGGATGGGCACTGCTGTACCATGCCTTTGTGTGAGTAATATGAGCTGTCACTGCCCCTAACTGCCCCCCTTATATAAAGAGATTATCCCCCCTGGGGAGTGGGGGGCTGTTCACACAGAGCAATTCCAGGGAAAACTTCTAAAAGTGCAGCTGTCCTTAGGGACAATCCATTGGTTTCCATGGTGATTGCTGGGTGGAATGTTTGTGTACTATGATTCTGGGGCAAAGTTCTGGAAGTGGAGCAATCGCCATGGCAACCAATAGACTGTTACACTTGTAGAACTTTCCCTAGCTGCATTCTACCTGAGAACATTACTGCATCTTTATTATTTATTACTATTTCATAGCCACTACATGCCACACACTGTGGTGTATATATGGGTGTGTGGTGTGTTTTTATACATATTCTAAATGGTTTGGTTTATATTGGATTAACTAATGGAATGTTCTGTGTTTGGGAGGTGTTTTCTATTCTCCCAGACTGGATACATGGGGTTCTCTAAATGAATGTGGCCTTGGTAACTGGGCTCCATGATGAACAGGAAGTGTTGTGTTATTGCTGGTGGATGGGTTCGCCTCACATGTTGGTTTCCTATGCTAGTGAACAGGAATTCTCATTTGTGCATGAAATTCAATAGGCCAGGGAAGTCCAGGGCATATTGAGTTGTCAGCATTAAAGCGAGGAGTTTAATCAGGCCGAGTGGTGAATCTGGTTTATAGTGGGAAGCCTCTGGGAGGGTTGGGATATTAAATGCTGAAATAAAATGATGTTTTAATTTACACGTGCGGCTAGCAGACTGTAAATGGAAAATGTTGTATTTTGGGTCATGCAGACGAACAATAGAATTTAAGGAATGTTTTTGTTTGAGAGAACATGTCTGAAGCTGCGATGTGCTGACGTTTTCTCATACAATGTGAAGATCAATTGATTGGCCAAATGTATCTCCCATCATTCTCTGCTCTGGATACAGAGCTAAAAAAACAGGGTGAAACCAGGGGGAGATAGTGGGGTGAGCTTTATGGGTAGCTATAGTAATATGTAAAGAGAGCATGTGATACCATTAACATTGTATAAGTAGTCTGTTAAACCCACTTTATCTCTCTCCATCTCTCTATAAATCACATTATTATTAGGTAAACAAAACGCCAGAGGAACACAAACCACTTAGACTCACTCACAACACAGACCAATCTCTGAATTCTCTGTTCAGTAAGGATATATCTGAGTAGGGTGGGTACGCGGGATATGTTTTATATAAGGAAGACATTTATTAAATGCACAATCATAAGGGACATTTATTTTTATTCCACGAACTTGTTGAACACGCCTTCTACAATGCTAATTAATGTCTGTAGTGATAACCAGGTGTAAGTAATTCTGATTGACGCAAAGGGCTGATAGGAATTTAAATGGAAAACTGGGAGGGGAATTTGGTTGTGTGCTAGGGTGTGCATGGTGGCATCTGGTACAAGCCTTTGGTTAAGGAACTATGATTTTTCGAGTTCTACTGAACCTACTTTAGTTTGCCAAAGGGTTTATCTTGCCCGGCAGGCGAATGCACCAAATGTTGTCAAACTCCAGCCCCAAATATTAATGTAGTACAACTCCCAACATTCTTTGAATGCCATGGAAGGGTTGGGAATTATGGGAGTGGTAGTCCAATGTAATCTGGGAGGCCAAAGTTCAGCCACTTCTCAAGCCCTGTATTGTCAACCCCAGTTGGGACCTTTAAGTCAAGTTTCTTTGTTTTCTGGCAACACAGTGTCTTACTATGAGTTTTCTCCACACCGTTTCCTTATGGAATTCCACAGTTACCGATCTGGAGATTTTGGTATTCATTGTTAGTACATTGTAGGTTAAGCTGCACACTTTATATTTTTTCCATCATTGGGGACCACCAGCTGGGTTTTGTATTAAAAAAAGGAAAAAGTACTTGTCTTATTTTCATCAAGGTTTTGTATTTCGTGGGACGATTACCTGTATTTTGTCCTCTATTTGAAGGAACTCAAGGTGTGACGACTGTTGGTCGATGACCATTCAAATAATATAATTTTTCGTCTGAATTCTGAGTGGTCCATGTGTGGAAACTGGAGGTTTGTGTAAATACAGACAGAGATATTTCGGTGGTTTGTCTTCAGTACTTGTTAAAACCTCTATGGTCTGCGTAGGTCGATAAAACCATATCTTCAAGTTGGACAATAATAATAATATACCCAGTGATATATCTGAACATTAAATACCGGTATATCATCTATTCTCAAATACATGATATTATCAACTAGACTGGAAAAAGTATTTACACAATAAACATTAGATGAGATATTAGATGTGTCATTTGACAGATTGCTATGAAACAACACATTACATTGGCTACAACCCTCCATATTCCAACAACAAAAATAGTTCAGGCATTCACTACAGGGGATTTGGCTACGATTCTCGTGCACTCGACAATTTGGTTCCACTGGATTTCCATCTCTAAGGACTCTCTTGTTAATTCAATGGAGCAAGGTGTAGCTTGGAAGAGTTCATATAATTTATATAGTGCCAACTTGTTTCACTGTACTTTACAGTATTATAAATGGAGAAATTTAATAAGAAATTAGACAATTGCAAAATGTTACAGGAAAAATGGTTGATGAGGACCCTGCTCAAACAAGCTTAAAGTCTAGAGGATTTTTTTATTTTTTATTTTTTTTGAGATCCAAAAAATTTATTAGTATTAATAGTTTGATATTTTAGACAGTACCAGCATGACATAACTTAGAATATCTTGTGATTTACTAAGCTTTTAGAAGCCGAGAAGAAAATGCCAGAATTAATAGGCTCATGACCCATGTAAGCTAATAAAGTGGGAACACATTATTGAAATTATTTGTGGACTAAACATGAGTGATATGAGAGCACGGTACTTTGCTGTGATGGTAAAATGAGTCTAGAGGATTTTAACTCAAAATTAACTCAATAGGTCTTTGCTCAACTCAGCATTAGCATTTTACAGCAAGACAGGCCTTTAGTAAATCAATAGAACCAGAGATTAAATTTGTTCAAGCAATAATTTACATATCTAACTAGTTAATGGAAGGACGACAATAAATCCACCAGGTATTGGTTATTATTCACAGAGTCTATAGCTACATAAATATACAGAAAATAGAAAAAACATGCGTCAGATTGCCGCAGCCCAACATGAATGATGGAAGACAATCTATATTTTAATTATCTGTAGGGATTTGTGGGAAAAGCAGAAATATTAAAGGATCACTATAGTGTACGGAAAACAAACCCATTTTCCTGACACTAAGGGTGCCCCAAGGGTTCCCCCACCCTCACGGTCCCCCTCCCTTGGTGCTGAAGGGGTTAAAACCCCTTCAGCAGCTTACCTTAATCCAGCGCCGGGCCTCTCCTCCCGGTGGTGACCTCTCCTCCACTGCCGACGTCAGCTCCCGAGTGGAGCGGAATGCGCATTTGCATTTCTCAATGCTTTTCTATGGACGTTCTGCACACTGGATGCGAATTTTGAGGTTGGATTAACCCTGCTATGTAAACATAGCAGTTTCTCTAAAACTGCTATGTTTACATGTGAAGGGTTAAAACCTGAGGGACATGGCACCCAGACCACTTCATTGAGCTGAAGTGGTCTGGGTGACTATAGTGTCCCTTTAAGCATTTCCCCAAAGTTCTACATATTCCATTTATGCCGATTTCTATAAATGAAAGATTCTCAGAATACATTAATAGTTTCCAATCTGGTCACTGACTTACAAATAGATTTTCCAGTGGAGAAATGGTTTTGGAAATGTCACTAGCTGAATCTTTTTCCTTGTTAATAAGCGCGATGTCGCCGAAGAAATTACAGTGCAATTGTTTTTCTAATAGGAAACCTTTGTATTTTGTCGGAATTTATAATTAATAGAAAATGTTAGGCCACAGCAGCTGTAGTGAAAAAATGTGCCTGTTTTGGTCTAACATTTGAAAGTCACCTTGAATTCCGTAGACCGTTAATGGAATGATGTGGTAGAAGGAATAAGAGGGATAGATGGAATGAGAGGGTTATTTAAATAAAATAGTGGGACTGATCAGAGAGCTAACAAAATGATATGGTGGGTGGATAAAAGTGTAAAACAAACTAAGCACTATAACCACTACAGCATGTTTCTGGCTCTCTGTCAGGAGTAGTACCCCAGGTACAAAAAAGTTTGACTACTTAAATCGAGGGGGCCAGGGCACTCCTGCCACTATAACAACTAAGGTGCATTGAAGTGGTGATGGTGCTTGGAGGATTCTTTTAAATTAACAGAATTAGGGGACCAATT